AATGGGCAAAATTATTTGTTGAAATATTTAAACCATATTCACGTTCCGATTTAAAATTCCCAAAATTCCATTCATGGTGTCACGTCTGAACAGCACACAAACCAAATTACACAATAAATTCTATTTTTAGTTACACCGATAGCTTACACTTCTTCGTGTATCACTATCCTATTTTATACAGTGTAGCGACTTAAACAATAATCACAAAATCGTACGTATTATCTGAAAGGTACGTGAGCAAGTGAAGTAGAGGTAATTTTCCCTATGTATTTTTATTGATACTAAATCAGATTTATAAAGAATAAACGTTTATTTAATTAGATAATTAAAAGTAAGTTTTATTAGAAGTTGGGCAACAAAATATTACAATGACGTGTTTCTATTCTGTTACTACTTCTACTATTTACATGAATATTACTATAAACGTTGTTATAGTTATTTAATAAAACAAATAAAATAGAATAATATAAAATAAAATTAATAAAAGAAATAAAATATCAAAATGTTGCTATCTTTAAAATATGCCACGAAAAGGAACTCTCTTTTCTCCCTCTTGCTACCACTACTTTTATATTTTTCTCTCATCATTTCTTTCTTCCCATCATTTCCATCATTCGTACTCCATCATTCCCATCATTCGTACTCCATCATTCCCATCATTCGTACTTCATCATTCCCATCATTCGTACTCCATCATTCCCATCATTGTGCAACTCCATCATTTCTATCATTTGTACTTCATTATTCTCACGCCACACATTTTCCACACACCTATCTTCGTACCACCTTACCGATCCTTCGCTGTTACCACAAACATTTCCTCCTTCAAAGGGGAGCTCCTGCGACCCTACGTCATTGTTCAAATAATTTTGAATCATTCGCGAGTTTACCTTCCCACACATTTGCACCAACCTTTCGTAATCTTGTCTTGGAAGTCTATATAACCAATCGGGCGTAACACTGTGAAGATCCTTCGGCTGTAACATTTCGGCTTCTTGTGATAATCCTTTTGCCCTCAAGGCTATCGTACGTATCCGTGAACCATTCTGGCGTGAATACGTTCGCAATTCCTGTTCTATTTGCGTAGTAGTTCGTTCCATCTGAACAGCGTAGATATAATTCCCAAGACGTCTATAAGCATTTACTCGTTGCCCACTTGAATTAGTGGGGTTTATTGCAACAGATAATAGGCCCGATATATCAGAGTCAGACATATCCTTTGTTAAGTCATATCTTTCTTCTGAAGCAGTCATTACGTCCATAACATAAGGAAGTAACGTATCGTCACTCACGGATTCCATCAAATTCATTACACTGTCTCCGAGTATCGCATACGCACCCGTATTATCGACAACAAGTTGAACATCTCCGGCAAGTGCCATTAATTCGTCACGTATTTGCCTTATTTTTCTTCGTAAACTTTCAGGGACTTGCATTTTTTTTTTTTTTTTTTTTAGATAATTTCTTGAATTCGAAGTCTTTTAATATCCGTCTATTGTTCCTTCTGCCTCACGTGAGATGAAACCCCTTTGTTTATATGGCTTCAGCCGATTACCATGCACGGGACGATTATTAAGCACGTCCTCTTTCATACTCCTTAATATGTATGACCCATTGCCCAGACATCGGTGGATGTAATACGGTCCCGTCCATCTGCTTCAAAATTTGTCCCCGTGTAATTGCTGCAAATCGGATCGATATTCTAGTACCAAATCACCGATTTTATAAGTAATTGCTCTTATCTTTCTATCATAGGTCTTCTTCTGTCTTTCTTGGGTGCCTTTTATATTCTTAGCAGCTTTTATTTTATTGTCAGTAAATACTCCTATAATTTCATCAATTCTCCTAATAATCAGTTCTTCGTATTGGCTTTCGTTAATAGACTCCGATGGCCACGTTAGGATATCGAGTTCCACTGGTAGAGTAGGAGTTCGGCCGTACAAAAGATAAAAAGGTTCGTATTTCGTAGTATTATTCCTCGTAGTACGATATGTGAAAAGAGCTGGAGGTATTAACACGTCCCAGTCATAAATCGTATCTTGCATACATTTCACCAAGGTTCGACATAGCGTTTGATTAAAACGCTCTGTTAAACCATTGGTCTGCGGGTGGTATGCAGAAGTAAGTCTGTGGTGCGATCCCATTATTTCCACTAAATTTGCTACCACCCGGCTTAAAAACACTGTTCCCCTATCGGAAAGTATCTCTTTAAGGCATCCATGTCGACATATAACTTCGTCGTATATAAACCATGCGACGGTTATTGCATCAGCCCTTTCAATGGCTCTTGCCTCCGGCCACTTCGAAAAATAGTCCGTGGCCACTACGATATATCTCTTTGTCGTAGAAGTCAGCTTTAGGGGGCCCACAATATCGATCCCCAATCGATCAAATGCTTGTCCTACTTTGATTGGACGCATTTCCTCGGTTCGTGTGAGTTTGCCCTGTTGTTGGCAAACATCGCAAGTCTCTACATAATTTTTAACATCTATACCTATAGAGGGCCAGTAATATCGTTGTCTAACCATATCCATAGTTGCCTTTATACCGAAATGTCCCGCACTCAGTGTACTATGCATATTATGCAGTATTCTAATTACGTCGTCTTTCAATATTACTCGTAACAGGTCGCCGTCTTTGCTACGTTGTTACAGAATGAAAATATAATGATAAAATAATATTAAAAATACCTGCAATAATAATCCTTAAAATAATATTTAAAATTAAATATTAGTTCATGTAACAAATAGTAACAATTTAATAATTACTTTTAGTAATATTTATAGTCTGTAGCACAAATTAATTAGTCGCGAAATAGTAGTACAAGATCACGTGTTCACGTGATATTTAGTTACACAAACATAACTATCAATTCATAACATTAATTATTATC